GTTTTCATTGAGAGTCCAGTGGCAGTCGAGTTACCATGACCTCCACAGTTCCCACAATCAACCTCTCCCTCTTTCATCCAGAGCTTGTTGCCCATCCCTATCCACAACTTCAGTTGAGGAGCTTGCTGGAACCATTTCAGAGGGCAGTTAAGAATCAGCTGCATTGTTGTGGGTCTGGAGTCATGTGTAGGCCTGACCAGGTTAAGGATGGGATGTTACTGAACCAGATGGGTTTTTACAACAATTAGTGGTGTTTTGGTTTTTTTCATGGTCACCATCACAAAGACATACTTTATGTTTCACATTTTATTTACTTAATTTGAATTCCACCCGTTGCCACAGTGAAATTTGGACCCATGTCCCCAGAACATTAAAAAAACGAAAGAACTGTGGATGCTGTAAATCAGGAACAAAAACAGAAGTTGCTGGAAAAGCTCAGCAGGTCTGGCAGTATCCGTGAAGAAAAAAATCAAAGTTAACGTTTTGAGTTCGGTGACCCTTCCTCAGAACTGACGGTAGCTGGAAAATATCGGTTTTTATGACGTTTTCCCAGCCACTATCAGTTCTGAGGAAGGGTCATCGGACCTGAAACATTAACTCTGATTTTTTTCTTCACAGATGCTGCCAGACCTGCTGACCTTTCCCAGCAACTACTGTTTTTTGTTCCCCAGAACATTAGCCTGGCCTCTGGTGGACTAATTTAGTGATTTTCTCACTGTGCCATCAACAGCCCTTAAAATGTACCTCTTTGACCAAGGCTTTAATCACTGTCCTAATATTTCTGTAAGGAGTTGGTGTCAATCTTTTCTCTGATAGCACTCCTCTGAAATATTTGGGACATTTTACCACATTAGGCTTACAGTAATGATCCCAGGGATGAAGGGCTTGTCAAATGAGGAACAGTTGAGGACTCTGGGTCAGTACTTGATGGAGTTTAAGAAGGATGAGGGAGGACCTGATTGAAACTTACAGAACACTGAGAGGCCTGGATAGAGTGGATGTGGAGAAGATGTTTCCACAAGTAGGAGAGACTAGGACCTGAGGGTACTGCCTCAGGGTGAAAGGATGACCCTTGAGAACTGAGATGAGGAGGAATTTCTACAACAAGAGGATAGTGAGTCTGTGGAACTCATTGCTATAGAGGGGTATAGAGCCAAGTCAATCAGTGTATTTAAGATAGAAACAGATAGATTCTTGATTAGTAAGGGATCAAGTGTTTATGGGGAGAAGGCTGGATTAAGAAACATATCAGCCATGATCAAATCGCAGAGCAAATTTGATGGGCCAAATGGTCTAATTCTATTCCTACATCTTATTTTATCATCAAGCTGTGATATAAATGCAAGTTATCATTGTTTTTAAATTCCTTGATTTTCTTAACCGTACAACTGATTTTAGAAGAATGGGAGGTGATCTCATTGAAACATATAGGGCTCTACAGGGGCTTGACAGGGTAAATGCTGAGAGGATGTTTCCCCTAATGGGAGAGCCTAGGACCAGAGGGTATAGTCTCAGAATAAAAGGCTGCCATTTTAAGACTGAGATGAGGGGTAATTTCTTCTGGCAGCTCATTCCATACACGCACCATTCTCTGTGTGAAAAGGTTGCCCCTCAGGTCGCTTTTAAATCTGTCCCCTCTCACCTTAAACTTATACCCTCTATTGAGATTGAGATTGAGAGCCTTTGTAAGTCATTGCCACAAACAGCTGGGTGGGGCAGAGTCCTTGTGTATATTTAAGGCTCAGATAAGTAGGTTCTTGACCAGTCAGGGAACCAAGGATATCAGGGAAAGTCGACGTCATAGAGTCATAGAGATATACATCATAGAAATAGACCCTTTGGTCCAACTCTTCCATGCCGACCAGATATCCTAAATTAATCTGGTCCCATTTACCAGCATTTGGCCTATATCCCTCTAAACCCTTCCTATTCATATACCCATCCAAATGCCTTTTAAATGTTATAATTGTACCAGCCTCCACCACTTCCTCTGGCAGCTCATTCCATACACGCACCACCCTCTGTGTGAAAAAGTTACCCCTCAGGTCCCCTTTAAATCTTTCTCCTCTCACCTTAAACCAATGCCTTCTATTTTGGACTCCCCCATCCTGGGCAAAAGACCTTGTCTATTTAACCTATCCATGTATCTTATGATTTTACAAACCTCTATAAGGTCACCCCTCAGCCTCCAACACTCCAGGAAAAATAGTCCCAGCCTATTTAGCCTCTCCCTATGGCTCAAACCCTCCAAAGCTGGCAACATCCTTGTAAATCTTTTCTGAACTCTTTCAAGTTTCACAACAACCTTCCTATAGCAGGGAGGCCAGATTTGCACACAGTGTTCACATATCACTCCACCAGCCTCCACATCCAGTGCATCATCCTCTGGCTTTTCCGCCACCTACAATCCGACCCCACCATCAAATTTCCCTTCCCACCCCTATCTGCCTTTCGTAGGGACCACTCACACCCAGCACCTTTCCCTGCAACCGCAGGAGGTGCTACACCTGCCACTACACCTCCGCCCTCGTCTCCATCCAAGGCACCCAACAAACTTTCCATATCAGACAGAGGTTCACCTGCACATCCATCAATGTGATCTACTGTATCTGTTGTTCCCGATGTGGCCGCTGCTACATAGTTGAGACGAAGCTCAGACTCGGGGACCGTTTCATGCAGCATCCATGTTCTGTTCACGACAAACGACAACCCTTCCGATCGTCAACCATTTTAACTCCCTCTCCCACTCCCTGGATGACATGTCCATCCTGGGCCTCCTCCAGTGTCACAGTGACACCACCCGCAAACTGGAGGAGCAACACCTTATATTCCACCTCGGGAGCCTACAGCCCAATGGCCTCAACATAGAATTCACTAGTTTCAAATTCTCCCCAGCCCTGGCCTCATCCCATGTCCAACCCTCCCTATCGTCCCCACCTCCTTGACCTGACACAACCTGTCCATCTTCTCTCCCACCTATCTGCTCCTCCCAACCCACTGACCAATCCCCACCACTGCCTACCTGCACTCACCTATCACCATCCCACCTACCTTCCCCAGCCCCACCCTTCGCTCTATTTCCCAACCCCCTTCCCCCTCCCCAGTCCTGACGAAGGGTGTAAACCTGAAAGGTCATTTCCTGTTCCTCCAGCTCCACACTGTACTGACTGGTTGTAAGGAATGTCAGTCAGGTCAGCCATGATCCTACTGAATGGCACAGCAGACTCAAGGGGCTGAATGGCCTACTCCTGTTCCTATTGCTAATGGTCTTATGGATCTTAGCAACCATACAAACATAGGAGGACTGGTGACAGCAAACTGTCTCATATAACTCTTACCCTGTACCATGTACTGATACAGGCAGCAGGCACCAGGAGGTGCAGTAATGGTAGTTGGGACAATTGTTGGGTGACCGATGGTGGTGTAGAGATAGGGTTTGATCATTGTGGAGGTGAGCTTCTCACGTAAGGTGTCATCTCAGTCCTAATGTGACAGGGTCTCTGCTGGAAGGTTGGAATGAGAGCAGCTGAAGGAAGAGGTGCCCAGTCTGAATACAGAATGTATACAGCCTGAATCAACGATACTTAGTGCGTTACCTCAAAGTGCAGCCTGAACAGATCTGAACAGACAAACCCATGCTGGGACTGATAGAGGGAAGGAGTCATGGAATGAAAGCTCCAGTGATGTGCCCATCCAGAACTAGCAAACCTAATCCAACCTCAGTCCTGAGGGTGGGGCATGTCTGTGAAACAGGGTGATGTTAAAGGAGCTGCCAGAGGAAGTGGTGGAGGTGGGTACAATTACAACAGTTAGAAGGCACCTGGATGGGTATTTGAATAGGAAGGGTTTAGAAGGATATGGGCCAAATGCTGGCAAATGGGACTAGGTCAGATTAGGATACCTGGTCAGCGCAAATGAGTTGGGCTGAAGGGTGTGTTTCTGTACTGTATGACTCTATAACAGAAAAGGAAAAAGGAGGAAAGAGATAAAATAGGAAGTTGGACAATAGATTACAATCGTGACGAGGATAGATACAACGACACTGATTCCCAGAGAAGCTCAACAGGATGATAAGTTCCCTTTCACATTCACATGACACAAGGATAGTAAGAACTGCAGATGCTGGAGTCAGAGATAACACCGTGTGGAGCTGGAGGCACACAGCAGGCCAGGCAGCATCAGAGGAGCATCACTACCTTTTCCCTGGTACCCTCCCCAATCCCCTTTCCCCTCAATATCTCTCTCTAACCAAGCTTTTGGTAAGCCTTGGGGAAAGCATTGTCCAGACTGGCTGAGTGTCAGAATGTTTTTAATGATAATATTCATGATAAACACTAGGGGGGATGCATTTGCAACTTTGAAGGCACTGTGTAAACACAAAAGTTGATGCTGTTGTTGTGTACCCTTCAGGATAGGAGATTGACAGTGATCATACCAAGGTGTTTGAGACTTTCAAAAGGGCTTGATAGGGTAGATGGAAATTACTTTCAATAGTGGGCTGTCCACAAGGGGGTGTAATATTAACATTGGAGCTGTGCAGATGAGGGGCAACTTCAGGGAGTATATAGCAGGTCTCAAGAGGAAACAGGCAGACTGGTTACATCCATCGTCAAACCAACTTTGTCCACTTTCCAGAACATACCCTGTGCTTCAGAAGTGTCCTGTATTTGTGAAGTTCTACAGTTGTGTGATGATCGAATTGCCCCCTTGTAGCCTCCAGCACTGCCCCTGGTGGAATTCAGCTCTCTTGCTAGATGCAACAGTTCTTGTTTGTTGGCTATGTTCACACTTTAATGGAGGTGATGTAAGTGTGTCACATGCTGATTATCACAGGTCACTGAAATTCTAGTATCAGCCTGTTTTCAAGCTGCAATACCAAAGACAGACAGTAAAAGAAGTGTACTCTGGCTGGATTCACCACAGATACATAAATGATTGAGTGCAGCATACACAACTCCACCTGTGTCTGAGATGTAATAACAATCGGGAAGGAGTGGCTCTTCATTTAAATAGTAATTTATTATTAGGTTTAATAATTAGTGATGTTGCCAGTGAACGGCAGAGTACAGAACAAACAACCCTTCTACGCAAGTGTCTCCGAGTAAGTCCATGTGCAGAGGTTTGTGTGTGGGATCTGCATGTTTGTATACATCATGCAGCAGTGTACACTGATATCACAGCTCCACAAGCTGATTCAACTGGGGATTCAGAAACTGAGCTGTGGCCCCTAAATGTGGCCAATTTTTTGAGTCACAGGCTGCCCTTCACAGTGTAAATATTAATCAGTGACAGTCAATGAGGACTATAATTTAAAACTGAGTTAAACAGTTAGTCCTCACAGGGAGAAATTGCAATTTATTCAGTAACAAAATGTTAACAAATATAAACCTCCTTGTATATCAGTAATACTTGAGGGCTTTAAAAATCTTTCCCTTCCATGTCTCCATGACACAGCGAATTTCAGTCTTTAAACACCTCACAGTTCCGAAAGTACACTAGTGATCGGAGATTAGGGTCTTCATTTCATTCGTTTTCATTTTAAATCCTCAGTAATATTTTCAGTCTTTGGTGTGAGCAGAAAGTTCACAAGCAAGTACCAGCGAATTCAGGGTGAGCAGGAGCGTCCACGGGACCCAGGCACCAAGCAACTCATCATTAGACAATGACCCCCATCAGGTGCACCTGGCGGTTCTGGTACCGTTTGGAGATATCGGCCTCAATCTGAAAGAGATAACGGAGCAAAACAACTGAGAGCAAACCCACCCACACCGAGTCAGACACTAATGCAGCCACAGGCTCACACACACAGTCAGACACTGACACAGCCACAGGCTCAGGCACACAGTCAGACACTAATACAGCCACAGGCTCACACACACAGTCAGACAGTGATAACAGTCTCAGGCTCACACACACAGTCAGACACTGACACAGCCAAAGGCTCTCACACACAGTCAGACACTGACACAGCCACAGGCTCACACACGGGATCTGTCACATGACAACACTCAATAGCAGTGAAAGAGAAAAAAGAGATAGGCTTGCATTTATATAGAACCTTATCAGAGCCATCAGATATCCCACAGCCAATGACATATGTCAGAGTACTTGCTGTTTTAATGTAGGAAATTGGCTGCCCATTTTAGCAGACTCCTACCAGAAGTATTATGAGAATATGATAAAGCACAGAGCATCGATACCGTTGAGCAGGAGGAGAAAACTACAGACTGCTCAGCTGTACACCTCCTGAACCATGAAGGGCCGAGCCGATCTGTGGCTCCATGACCCGGCTGTGAGGAGAAACAGAGTCAGCAGTCAATGGCAAATGAAGTCAACGCCAGGGTGATGACTCCATTTCCCGACACAATGTGAACCCAGCACAGAAAGACATATGCAACCAGAACTGGGATCCTCTATCATTGGAGGACTCGTCCAGCCCAATAAATGTCAACTCGATTTAAAGTAGCCATCACACCACTGAATATCTTAATGATACAATCTGATATTATGATGCTGACAGATAGATAAATACCAGAAAAGACCTCACTGCTCTGTTTACAAACAATGCAGCAGAACGTTTTATATAAACCTACAAAAAGTATCTGATTTCATCAGACAAACAGCACCTCCGACAGTGCGGCGCTCCCGCAGCACTGACCCTCCGGCAGCACTGACCCTCCGACAGTGCGGCGCTCCCGCAGCACTGACCCTCCGACAGTGCGGCGCTCCCGCAGCACTGACCCGTAATGAGGAAACACTGTGCTGTTAAAGTTGAGACATTAGACTAAGCCCACATTTGTCCTTTGAAATGGTAAGAATGACACATACCCTGGTTTTAATGGATGAAGAGCAGGACACGTCTCCCCAGCGTTTTTCAACCAAACCAACATAACAACAGTCTGATAATTATTGGAATGCAGTTTCTGGGAGCTTGCTATGTACAAACTGAGTGCTGTATTTTCTGCAATGGGAACAGTGACAGGACATCACTGACTCCAAAACACACTCTAATGATCTGAATGTGGAAATCAAATGCTCTCTCACTGATGGGAATAGAGACTGCAACAAACAATTTACATTTTTCATGTGAACGTCACTCAGTGGAATTTCAAACAACGTGTGGGCTTGAGGGAGTCACTTACTAGCTTGCGAAGCTCTTTGGTTTGCTGGATTAGAAGGTCCAGTTTGGGTTCAAGGGCAGCTTGCTCCTCCAGAGATTGTTGTCGCTTCTTGACCATCAGATGCTGCTTTTCTCCCACAGTGCCTGCTTGTTTCAGCTTCTGTTGCAGGAGCTCAGTCACACGGTCTATGTACCTGCAGCAGTGAAGCAGCAGCACCATTAGATACACACAATGTACCGTACCCTCACAGTACAACTTTCCATCTCCTCCCCAACCTGCTGCCTCATACATCCCCCACCCAGCTCCGGGGCTAGGGTAGGGAGTGCTGGAGGTGGGGGGTGGGGGCCCTCTCCTTCAGTGATGCCAGAAGAGCATCATCACTGACCTCAGGCAGTTATCGCAGTTATTGGTGTTGTACTGTTTAACGTGATAATAATGGGCTGAGCCATCAGGAGATCATCAGAAAACTTAATAAAATTTGGCAATGTTTAGGACAGTACAATATAAACTGGGGGAGAAGCAATGCTGGAGTTATACAAAGATTAAATAATTTACAAGATGGATTAATGGTGTAACAGAAGTTCAGTTTATTCCAGCCTCAAGCTGATGTCGGGGATTTTATGGTACAGTGGTACCTCTGGACCAGAAGGTCCAGGTTCAAGTCCCACTGCCCCAAATGTTTGCAAAAACATGTTCAAACAGGTCGATTAAAAATACTTCAAGCCGACGTCAGACAGATTTGGGTGCATCCTGTATCACAGAGAGGAGGGTGGTCTGGCTGTTGTTCTACTCCCAACACCCCAGCCATCTGGATCTAGGTTTAACTGTCAGCAACTTATTGCCATTCCAGTTCGGATACAGTGCGCACAGTGCACACAGGTTTAAATCATAGAAACACACACCCCTGCCCTATCAGCTAAACCATGGGGCAGGCCAGTGTGTCAAATTCAACATTCAGAAGCAGAAATACAGATCCAACTGAGTAACAGAACAGGCTCAAAGGGCTGAATGGCCTCTTCCTGTTCCTATGTAACACCACCTCTCCCTCCATCCTCCCAAAAGGGAGCAAACTAACATTACCAACATGAAATTCCGTGGATGAACTATAACCAGCACCAAACCTGGGGGATGCAAGGATCATGAAGAGATGCCGCATCTTTACATTGGTCAGTCTCTGGATGAGGTCCTTCACTAGCGTTGTCATGGCAACAACCTTGGTGACATCCTGACTCTGGACAATAGCTGGGGCTGTCTGAAACTGGTTGATGGAGAGGATGTCTGCTTCCTCATTCATCTCCACAAGTCTCTGGCTCAAGAAATCCTGTAACTGGGATCAACAAATCAAAAATGCAATCAGGAAACGAGCTGCTGAAGACAGATGTCGACAGAAAAGCTCACTTACAAAGTGGGAACAAATTGCCAATGGGGACTCTTGCAAATGCTGAACTGCAGAGATTGGAGAGAGCAGGTCTGTTCCTCTGATTCCCCCACAGATCAGACTCCAGAAGCAATAATCAATGGAGTGAGAGTATCGGATCAATATGCCTCAATAAGTTGATTGAAATGGCATCGCTAGGCCACAGTACAAAGACTGGAGTATCCCAGGCTCCAAAAAAGATTCCAGACTTTGCTATGATTCACTTGGCAGCAGGAGGGATGAAGGGGAACACAATGGAATCCCAACCCACTTCCAGCTCAAGGACATTTTCCTGCATTATTCCCATGTCCCTTGATAACTACCCAATGACTGAACTGTTGCATTATGAAAGGAGTCTCCATTGAATGTCAGAGGCGAACTGGTCGCGGACACAGAATAGCCTTCCTCAGGCTTTATCGGATTATTCCTGCCTCACAGTTACATATTATTTTATATTGTCATGTATTAGAACAACTTAGAAGGACAAAGTTTTCATCAATCTCTCTTAAAATATGTGAGGCTGTCTTTCAGATGATAATTGAAACTAAGGCCACTTCTGCACCAAAGATCCAATGGCAATATTGCAAAGACGAGCTAACTTTAGATTCCTCCTCCAGTCAACATCCCAACAGAGAGATTGTCTGCCCACTGCCACATAGCTATTTATCGGATCTTGTCATGTCCTAATTGGCTCCGGCACAACATTTTGAACGTACCACATTGTGCGTAAAATGCTTTGAGATGTCTGGTGGACATGAAAGGCGCTACAGAAATTCAAGTCTTTCTTTCAATCAAATGGGAAAAACATTTGAAAAGAAAAATAAAACTCTAGTCATTTCAGGCTGATGTTCTGGACAAAAACAAACCTACCGAGTGTTCACAGCTACAATGGCACAAGTGCCACGCAATCTACAAACTTCCCTCACTTGCAGTGATAACCAGCAGTGCCATAACAGCCAGTAAATGCATCAGCTGTACAATGCCAAGCCCACATCATAAACACAGCCACCAGCTTCTCTCTCTGTCTCTGGCCTGCACATTCTAGACGGGAAATAGCTCCTCCAGATTCTGCAGTCAGAATCAGGAACCCTAATAAGCCAAGGGCATCCGGTTCTCATTCCCCTCCAGGGGCTCTCACAGTGAATCAGTCCTGAAAAAGAGTCTAATCAGACTCAATACGTAAACTCTGCTTTCTCTCCACAGATGTTGCCAGACCTGCTGAGTTTCTCCAGCAGTTTCTGTTTTAATTTCAGATTTCCAGCACCTGCAATATCTTGCTTCGATAAGAAATTTTTATTGGAATTAATACTTCTGGTGCAGATGTGTTTGAAGGGTTAAGTGCACAGTTAAGCTGCCAAACTCTGTCTCACCACTAGCAGCTCCATTGGAGATTTGAAGAGGAGGGGGAAATGGAGATGAACCGGGACAAGGATAGATATGGTAACTTCAAAGGAGCAATGAAGTGTTTACTCAAGGGTGTCACAGTGCAACGGCAGATACTTTTTCATATACTGGAGCACAGGAACAGGAAGAGGTCATTCTACCCCTCATACCTTTTCTGGAATTCATCAATCAGATCATTATTGATCTGCACCAAACCCACCTCAGCTCCGTAACCCTTTCTAACAGAAAATGTGCTCGCTGGCACCACACTGTGGCGAGAATTTGCTCAAACACCTCTCCAGTGTTTAACACTCACCGCAGTGATACCTTTTAGTCATAGAGTCATACAGCACGGAAACAGACCCTTTGGTTCTACTCGTCCATGCTGATCAAGTTTCCCAAACTGAGCCAGTTCCACTTGCCTGCCCAGTCCTGAACATTGTCCAAAGATGTGCAGGTTAGGTGGACTGGGCATGGGAAATACAGGGCTACAGGGATAGGGCAGGGTGGTGAGCCTGGGTGGAATGCTCTTTGGAGAGTCAGTGCGGACTTGTTGGGCCAAATGGTTTGTTTCCACACTGTAGGGAATCTATTCTATGGATTGTATTTTGAACATTTTTCTGGTATTTATATTTCCAGCTGAAAATTACCTCCATGAGTTCATTAATGAACTGGTTCCTGGTTTCCAAGTTTTCCAGGATAGTTAGAGCATCATTCCCCTTTGCCACTCCATCATCACCTGAATCATAAAACATAAGTTTACCAGAGAAAATATTAGTTTGTAATTTTTAAAAAATTGCATTGAGTTGAATTTCAATATTACCCTTAATTATCTGAATCCAAATACTTGACTCAGAACGAATGATGTGTCCAACACATAACATTTACGCGCTTACTTTTCAGTATGATGTCTGCTAAGTGATGACAGGTCAGTTGTCTCATCAAGAATATTTAGATGGTGTGGATGAGATAGTGTGAAAGTCTCAATGTAAACTGCAGTCTTAACCTAGTCATTATTCCATGAGCAGCACTGCCACCTAGTGTCTTCTTATTTAAACTGCAATAGAAAAGAACAATCCCCATCACGCGCAACCTTGCATTTATGTAGTGCCTCTCACATTCTCAGGATATCCCAGAGAACGTCATGGCCACACACTGCAATGAGATAAACAAGCCGATGATCTGCACTGGGTATTGGCTGAGGGATAAATATTGATCAGGATACCGGAATCTTGCCTGCTCAACTCTCATGTCCACATGGTGGGTTTGATAGGGGCTGGGTTTAACACCTAATCTAAAAGGCAGCATCTCTGGCAGTGTAGCATTCCCTCACTACTACGGTGGGAGAGTCAGATGAGTTACAGAGAGACTCGAAGCCACAGCCCCTGATCTTCAGGCAAAAATGCTCCTCACTGAGTCTGCCACCTGATTGAGAAAACTGAAGCCAGTCGAGATACAAACACAGAAAATGCTGGAGAAACTCAGCAGGTCTGACAGCATCTGGGGAGACAGAAAAAGAGTTAATGTTTTCAGACCAATAGATCCTCAAAGATGTTTTGCAATCTACAAGATGAGGTGACCAGTTTGTAACTGAATCCCAGATCCTCTATCTAAACCTGTCGTCTATTTTCCAAGGATCTGTATCCCTCTGCTCCCTGCCCATTCATGTATCTGTCTAGATACATCTTAAATGACGCTATCGTGCCCGCCTCTACCACCTCCGCTGGCAATGCGTTCCAGGCACCCACCACCCTCTGCGTAAAGAACTTTCCACGCATATCTTCCTTAAACTTTTCTCCTCTCACCTTGAAATCATGACCCCTAGTAATTGAGTCCCCCACTCTGGGAAAAAGCTTCTTGCTATCCACCCTGTCTATACCTCTCATGATTTTGTAGACTTCAATCAGGTCCCCCCCATCAACCTCTGTCTTTCTAATGTAAATAATCCTAATCTACTCAACCTCTCTTCATAGCTAGCGCACTCCATACCAGGCAACATCCTGGTGAACCTCCTCTGCACCCTCTCCAAAGCATCCACATCCTTTTAGTAAGGTGGTGACCAAAACTGTACGCAGTATTCCAAACGTGGTCGAACCAAAGTCCTATACAACTGTAACATGACCTGCCAACTCTTGTACTCAGTACCCCGTCCGATGAATGAAAGCATGCCGTATGCCTTCTTGACCACTCTATCGACCTGCGTTGTCACCTTCAGGGTGCAATGGACCTGAACACCCAGATCTCTCTGTGCATCAATTTTCCCCACGGCTTTTCCATTTACCATATAGTTCGCTCTTGAATTGGATCTTCCAAAATGCATCACCTCGCATTTGCCTGGATTGAACTCCATCTGCCATTTCTCCGCCCAACTCTCCAATCTATCTATATTCTGCTGCATTCTCCGACAGTCCCCTTCACTATCTGCTACTCCAACAATCTTAGTGTCATCTGCAAACTTGCTAATCAGACCATCTATACCTTTCTCCAGATCATTTATGTATATCACAAACAACAGTGGTCCCAACACGGATCCCTGTGGAACACCACTGGTCACAGTTCTCCATTTTGAGAAACTCCCTTCCACTACAACTCTCTGTCTCCTCTTGCCCAGCCAGTTCTCTATCCATCTAGCTAATACACCCTGGACCCCATGTGACTTCACTTTCTCCATCAGCCTATCATGGGGAACCTTATCAAACGCCTTACTGAAGTCCATGTATATGACATCCACAGCCCTTCCCTCATCTATCAACTTTGTCACTTCCTCAAAGAATTCTATCAAGTTGGTAAGACATGACCTTCCCTGCACAAAACCATGCTGCCTATCACTAATAAGCCCATTTTCTTCCAAATGTAAATAGATCCTATCCCTCAGTATCTTCTCCAGAAGTTTCCCCACCACTGACATCAGGGTCACCGGTCTATAATTACCGGGATTATCCTTGCTACCCTTCTTAAACAAGGGGACAACATTAGCAATTCTCCAGTCCTCCGGGACCTCACCCATGCTCAAGGATGCTGCAAAGATATCTGTTAAGGCCCCAGCTATTTCCTCTCTCGCTTCCCTCAGTAACCTGGGATAGATCTCATCCGGACCTGAGGACTTGTCCACCCTAATGCCTTTTAGAATACCCAACACATCCCCCGCACCCCCCTTATGCCGACTTCACCTAGAGTAATCAAACATCTATCCCTAACCTCAACATCCGTTATGTCCCTCTCCTCAGTGAATACTGATGCAAAATACTCATTAAGAATCTCACTCATTTTCTCTGACTCCTTGCATAACTTCCCTTCTTTGTCCTGGAGTGGGCCAACCCTTTCAGAGATACAACAGGACCATGTAAGTACAAGATTACCTTCAGTCCCAGACTGCACAATGTCAATTTCCACAGCAGCACTTGTATCTTCTCCCCAGTCGATCACATCAGCAGCTTGCTCCTCGTTGTTCACCTTGGAGAAGGTACAAAATAAAACACAATAAAACCAGCAGGAAGAAATTTCAGGACAGGAGGGTCTGTGGGAGGAGCACAGCGACAATGATTCACCTCAGTGCTCTCTTCTACTGTGATTCCCCAATCGATATCACCTGACTGATCCACTCCAGACACCCCGTCATTTCCCCAGTCAATCTGAAACACAGATCAGAAAGTACGTGTTACTGAAAATGGCCAGATAATGCAACAAAAATCAGCTCAGTTACTCATATTCCTTAACTACTTCGGAAAGTTCGGAGCACATCCAAGGCAGTGTAAGGCAGGGTTTACTCAAGTGCATCTCAGACACTGGCAAGCTCCTGCCATTTGACTGGACAGGAAAGAACCAGATTCCAGCTCAATCCTGGTGATACTGGCAAACTACACTACAAATCAGCAGACAAGAGAAAAATCCTGTCCCAGGCAGGCAGCAGCACAGAGAGGAGCAGGGAGAGGAGGA